GAGTAGTGATTGACCACCACGCTCTCTGCTGGTTAACAAACATTAAAGACCCATGAGGACGTCTTGTTAGAGGGTCACTTCGTCTACAGGAGTATGATGTCGAGATAGTTTATAAGGCAGGTCACGCTCACCAAGATGCCGACGCTTTGTCCCGCTGCCCTCTACAACCCACCACCACCGATTACATGGATGCCACTGAGGTCCCTGTTCAAGCCCTATCCCTCCAAATGGACATCGCCACGAAACAATAAAACGATCCAAAACTGCGGAGTATCATCCGACTCTTACAGCATCCTTTGCCACGGAGCAGAGCAGCGAAAATGGAACATACGTATGTAATTGTCCAGCGAGCTCTATATCGTCGCAATTATGAACCCACAGTACAACCCCTGCTTTTCATGATCCCGCAACATTTACGCTCTAATGTACCTCGTCCCCTTAATGATGATCCGACTGACGGATATTTGAGAGTGTTTCGAACATAAAACCGCGCCCGCTGTCGTTTTTTTCTGGTTTGGCTTATACGAGAGCGTCCACAGATACTTCACATCACGTGAAGTATGCCAGCACCGGAAAATGTCTACCCTCGCTCCTGTGGGCTATCTACATCCCATTCATCCCCCTAGCCACGTATTTGAGAGTGTGGGAATCGATTCGGCCCTTTTCCTGAGTCGACACACGAAAAACGATGGATAATCGTCGCCGTCGACCAGTTGTAGCAATGCGCAAAAGCCCAGGCTCTCACGGCACCAATTGCAGAAGAGGTGGTCTCGTTTTTTCTGCACAATATTGTTCTGCGACACGAATTCCCCAGAAAACTTGTGAGCGACCGCGGGGGCGTCTTTTTATCTACACTCATTCAGCCCCTCCTTCGTTATTGTTGCACAATCCATCGCAGCACAACCGCCTACCACCCTCAAGCAAACGGTATGACTGAACGCTTTAATCGAACCCTCGCCTCAATGCTAGCAATGTACATTTCCAGTGATGAAGACAACTGGGATCAGGTTTCGCCGTTTATTGCTTACGCTTACAACACGGCCATTCATGAAACTACGCACTATTCCCCATTTTACTTAGTCTACCGTCGGTATGTAGTAACGCCCCTAGACACGATCCTTTCAAGCGTTTCCGAACCATCACCTGCCTACGTACAAGACGTTCTTCAAAGGGCGGAAGAGTTCCGCCAACTCGCTCAACACCGCACACTTGCTTTTTAGCAGACTCCAGTCATCCGTCATAATGACAAGCACAGGCAAGTTAACTACTGTGCTGGTGATCTTGTTTTAGTCTCGTCCCCCGTTCGCGTTGTTGGACGTTCAGAAAAAAACTTCTCTCGCGGTATTTTGAACCATACCGGATCACACAACAGACATCTGACGTCAATTACGACATAGAGCGTGTGACGCCTGTTGCACACGGTCATTTACGGAACAGGGATATCTTTTATCTGTCTCGCATGAAACCATACAACATGCGCTCCGACAGCGACAACCATACCTGTACCTTCCCCTTCTCCAGAGGAAAGGGTAATATTACGGTTAGACCGCAATCACATAATTTGGTTATACTAAGAACGACGAAGTAGCCGCGGGGATGAAAAAGAGGAAGTTGGTCGTCAATAAAAGACCGAACTGATAAAACCTGGTTGCCGCGTCCTCGGAGTCCTTCCACACCCCATTAATATATATATATATCTATATATATATATATATACCGCTCTTCATCAGTTAACGAGTGTACAGCCCATGAATGTGTATTTACCTCCTAGAAGAAATTAGATGGGGTAAAGTCCAATAGGAAATAGAAATAACTTTGTGAAATATTAGATAGTAGTTCACAAAGAGGGGAAAAGAAAACCAAAACTTGCAAATGCTAAAATTAAAAAAAAAAAAAAAAACGATTGGCGGGGAGATTTTTTACGCCCTCACGACAAGAAAAGCGAAAAAAAAAAAGAATAAAGGTGAGAAGTTTTAAAGCGCAAGAAAAAAACTCAAAAGATAAAGTGTGTTTGAAAGTTTCTGGTTGGGAAGGGGTGGCTCGTCTTCAAAGCAGATATAGGTCACATGTTGCCACCGACGGGCCCAAATTCCGAGACATTCGTTTGTTCTAGAAGATCGTAGTTCTTCTAGAGAGGGCTAATACACGAAGAGATAAGTATATCAACATGTGCATTAATATGTGCATGTTGATACGTAATATCACGCAACGCGAAATCATTTTCGCTGTGAAGAGGCAAAGACCGACAAAACATAACCTTTTTCGGTCAGAGAACGAGTGCCTAAAAAGACTCGGTGCCAGGGTAGATTTAATTATTAAACCTGCAGACAAGGGCGACTCCATAGTTGTTATGATCAGACAAGATTATCTTGATGACGGCTTTCGGCAATCGAATGACGCATCATTTTACCACGAACTACCGACAGACCCCTCACAAAGTCTTGAAACGGCCATCATAAAGAAATTAGTAGATCACAAGAAAAGTGGCAATATAACCAAGGAGGCTCTTAACGCCACAAAACCATCCCGCTCCAAACTCGGACGCTTTTATCTCCTTCCTAAAATACACAAGATTAACAACCCCGGGCAACCCATAGTGTCATGAATAGGTACAGTCACCTAACGCATCTCGAGTCTTGTGGACATACTGATCAAGGACATTCCTCCAACCTTCTCTTCGTTTGTTAAAGACACCAGGCACTTCCTGCAGAAAAGTGCCCCACTAGACATTCCGGATAACGCTTTTCTCGTAACCCTTGTGGCTTCCCTATATGCAAATATACACCACAGAGACGAAATTGCGGCACTGATTGAAGCATATGAACACGCTCATCGCACACTTGTCATCGAGGGGGACGTCCTTTCGATTCTGGTGAAACTGGTTTTGGAGAACAATCACTTTGAATTTCAGAATGGGCATTTCCTGCAGATCCACGGAACTGCTATGGGAACTAAGGTGGCGCCAAATTACGCTAACATATTTATGTAACAACTGGAAACCACCTTTCCCGCCGAACGCCCCACTCAACCACTGTTTTACACAAGATACATCGACGACATAATTATGATCTGGGCCTGTACTGAAAACTAACTCATAAAATTCATCGCCACCTTCAATTTGGCTCACTCATCGCTAAAATTTACCCACTGCGTATCACAAAAGTACATAAACTTCCTGGATGTAATTGTGGAAATTGCTAATAACAAATTAAGTATTGAACTTTGCAGAAAACTTACCGATAGAGAAGAATACCTCCATTTTAACAGCTGCCGTCCTCGAGACTGTAAGACTAATCTGCTCTACTCTCAGGCGCACAGATTTAAGCGCATATACTCAGAAAACAACGACTTTGAACAGAACGCTCAGGAACTGAAACGCGTACTAACCCAACAGAGGTATCCAACAAACCTAACCGATGACGCCATAAGCAAGGCAAGAAAGCTCGACCGCTCAGGCATCATTGGCAACCGAATAGAGCGTCCTCAAAAAAGCAGACAGTCTAACCTTATTTTAACATATACAAGCAATCTTCCTAACATCAACGACTTACTGAGCAAAAATTACAATCTTCTGTCACAGAGCGACCGCTTCAAAGAAATCTTACCGCCGCTCCTCGGGTCGTCTATCGACGCGGCAGGAATCTCCGGGACGTCTTAGTAAAACCGAAAACTACCACTCCCGCAAGCCTAGGTTGTCGACTATGCCGAAAGTCCAGGTGTAAAGTATGCAAGGACATCTCAGAAACAAAGAAAGCCGCGAGCAAAAATTAAGAGTTCTCGTGGAACATAAGGGGTAGCTACGATTGCGGCACATCAAACGTGATTTATCTCCTGCACTGTAATGTCTGTAACAAACAGTACATTGGAGAGACTAATCTGGCTTTCAGAGTACGCTTTAAAGACCACAAATGTCACGCACAAACACTCCCCGACTTCCGCTCTCAAAGCAACCTGTCTCTTCCTAATCACATAATCGAGCACATTTCTTTCGTAATTTTGGAATGAGGCTTTAGCACAAAAATGGAAAGAGAGCAAAAAGAATCGTATTTTATCTATAAGTTGAATACGTTCTACCAGGGCATTAACGAAAGTCCGGGAAGGCTGTTTAGTTTGCAGCTGGCTCGTTGGAGAGCTGATCCTCTCCGTTATTCAGCTTCTCAAAATGCACACGCTGAATACACTAGGAGATCTTCAAATTTAACAACCAATATTTAAACCACACCCTAATACGTTTAAGTACGAAGAGAACCTCAAAACGGATAAATGCGGCTCAAGCGGTTGATCTCAGGCACGCATAGACTTATCCATCCTACCACTCATTATTCAAGGAAAAATCTCCCCAAGTTTTAATCCACCTCAAACTTCGATCTTCTTGCACAAACGAATGTCTCGGGATTTGGGCGCGTTGGTGGTCACATACGACTTATACCTGCTTTGAGGACACTTCCTGTGTGTGTGTGTGCGCGCGTGTTTTTTTATTTATTTTTTTTTTATTCAAAACTTTTCATTTTTCTTTTTTTCTTCTTTTCGCTTTTCTTGTTGTGCGGGCGTGGATAATCTCTCCGCCAACCGCTTTTTTTTTTTCTTTTTTTTTTAAGCATTCGCAAGTTTTGGTTTCTTTCCCCGCTGTTGTGAACTACTACCTGATTTCACAACGTCATTTTCATTTCCTATTGATCTTTACTCGCTTCATTTTCTTCTTAGGGGTATATAATATTCACTGGCTGTACACTCGTTACCTGATGAAGAGCGGTACCTGCTCGAAACGTCGTAATAAACTTCGAATTTGTAACTCAAACGGTGGGCATCTTTGACTTATATATATATATATATATATATATATATATATATATAGATATATATATATATATATATATATATATATATATATATATATATATCAAACGCTCTGTATACACCCGCACAAAAAATATCAAAGGAGGTATTAAAGCGTTCTAGTACGAAACGTCAAGCTATTTTTACACAAAATAAACAATCTGCGCAATCAAAATCCCTGTTTTATTTACTTCTGGTAGGCTTTGTTTTCGCTCAGAAAAGTGGCTTGCCCCCCGTCAGATCAAAGCACCGCTTCGTCTTCGTCCTGAAAAAGAAAATCCAGTTGGTCAGTGCGCCAGTGTAACATCGCTCCAAAATGAGAGAATATTGTGTAAAACGTGCCTTCGCGAGGCTTACTTCTATAAAACAAGTGCATTTCAGCAATTATCGAAGAAAAAGGTCTCGTAAAACTTAGGCGCTTTGATCATTTCGCCCCACGTTTCAGTTTCAGGGGGGGATGCAGTCAAGCTTGAGTGTGTTTGCCGTATGCTTGCGCCCGTCTCATCTCCTGCGGGAGCGTGGGTCGCTTTCCGCAATACTTGGAGGGCAAAATTTGAGACCGTCGCGTTACTCTGCTCTCCAAGTCGAGCACACATGTTCTACCCTGTTCCTTAAAAAAAAAAAAAAAATTGCTTCTGGCAGTTTCGGCGGAGTATTGTATGAGTATTAAACAAATAAGGTAATCAGTTAGCTCAACGTAACGAAGAACAGTTGGTTTTGAGCCTTCTTATTGAGAACGATTTACATGCCTAACGGTTTTTGTTTGAGCGAAAGTGGTAACAGGTGAGCTTTAGCGCGTTATCACTGGACAGTTCGAGAAAAGCACGAAGTCTCGACTACCGAGCATCTCATTATAGATACCCGGCCGTTGCGATAATTCCTTCTCAAAACTGAGCGCCTAATAGTAGTTTCTGAGTCAGTTATATCCGAGGCCGCCATTGTTTGCGCATGTACTTTGATCACGTGATGTACAGGAGGGCTGCGCCAGCCTTTGGCGCGAACTCCGATCAGCTCGCATGGAAAACGGTTCGGCCTGTGAAATTGAGCAATTATTCGATTCGGTCAATTATCTGTAGTAATTTAATCGCGATGCAATTTGAACCGGTTAATCGGCTGCGTTTTCTATTAGAAACTCCGGTACAAAGTAAAAAAAAATACTCGCATTACTACATTATTTGTGCAATTTAGGAGCCATTACCTTTACACTTCATTGTGGGTCACTTTAGTATCGCTCATAAATGTCATCCAGAGTAATTATGAGATCCATAATATAGTCTAAAAATATTTTATTTGTTTATTTTTGTTCTACTACTTTTATTTTTAAATGAGGCTGCACGTTCAAACATGATTGACTTTTGCAAAATATACTAAGAAGAAAAACTTAAAGAACTTTTCAGGCAGCTGGCTTCACTTCATCATTACCTCATCTCAGAGGCGGACAGGCCTCTGAGAAGCCTGACCGCTTTCAGTGGCCCGCCATCGCGCTAAAAGAAAACGACATCGGCAACGGCGGCTCAAACTCGCGCTCGTTTAGAGCGTGTATAGATTTGCATCTTTTTAGATATCATGCCGCCGTGTCGAAGCAACGAATTAATCGACTCGTTTATCGATTAAAGTGTAGCGATTGATCGCGTTACAATATTGAATCGGCGTCCAGCACTAAAACGAGTATGTTGTACCGTTCGGCGAGGTCCCGCATCCAATCACACGCTCCCTGTCCCCCCGAAAAATGTTGACCGCCAGTGTTGCTCGACTGGATTTTAGAAAAGTATCTATTCCGTCATTAGCCGACAAGAATGACGAAGAAGCAATCACGGAACTAGAAGCGCGGATAAAATGACCCATGCCCTGCCTTTCTTAAAGGAATTGGCCGGCGCCCGACTAGGAAACGGGCGCGGACAGGAATAATCGAAAAAGCTCATCTTAAAAGAACAAAAAAAAAAAAATTCTCAGCAACTACAAAAGCACTTTTCTAATTTTTTGTGTGTGTGGAACATATGAGGTAACTTTAACATTTGGTTATTTCGATAGTGGTGGGCACCGCTGCCTACATTGCCTTTCCAGACTCTCACTATGGCCTTTTCTGCATAAACTGGATATTCTGTAATTTAATTAAAACGCAACGAGAAGAGGCTTTGAAAATTTAATACAAGCAATAGAATTATTCGTTTTAAGGTAACAGTTGAAAATAGTTTTGTAGCTAACACCCCAATCAGAGTTAACAAGAAAATAAAGAAATTTTATAAAGTCTAGTTTTTGGAGCTCATATTTGAACTCAAAATGTCGTCTTTCGATATTTCTATCTTGGTGTAAGGTCATTTTATTAAGTAATTAAGCACCCACCTAAATTTGTGTGGTACGCAATCGTTTTTATATTAGTATGTTTTTCTTAACTACATGGGTTTCATCACATTCTAGAAATTTAGAAAATCATTTCAGAAAAAAATAATATTTATATTTTCACAAAAAAAAAAAAAAAAGAATAATGTCCTTGGAGTTCAGGGGCTTTCTTATCCAAACTATATTTTAGTACATATCCCAGACACGATAACATTGCCGCGTCTGCTTTGGCATGGAATGACCGCGTGTGCCTTTTGCGGGTGCAATCTGAGCAGTTGTGCTCTCTTTAAGATTAAATTACTGCCTGTGTAATGGAAAATTTAAAATTCGGATATTGAGCGGATGATATTCCTAAAAAAAAAAAGTACAGTAAAACTTATATTCATGTCTAAAAGACAATATTTTACCGGACAATCCTTTAAGTTGTTAGTGACACGAGCACCAACGTACTGCGAATGCTAACAACATTATACCGCGTGTTTTCAGCTGCATAAAAAAGTGTCATTTTATTAGTAGTAGTATAATTTACGTCGCTTGATTTGTAACAAACTTCCAACCATTTTTGTTTGCTACAAGTATGGACTTTAACTGGGGATATCTGCCACGGTTTTATATTTCTCGTTTGAACAATTGACAAACATATTGAAACTTGCTTTCGATTACACATAAACAGCCATAATAACACACACATGCGGGCTTTTCAGAACAGTTTCGCCGCGCCGGCCATACAAAATATGTAAAGCGGTGCGAATTATACGTCAATTCGACTTATGGATCAAAACAAAAACAAGAACACACGGTACATATGATGGGCGAAAGTGGTCTTACATCAGACATCCTCTCGCCTGGTCTTGAAGACAACGCGAGAAATAGTGCGGTGGTTTGCCGGAACCCATAACAGATCCGAACTCCTGCTTCCTGCAACGGAGCCCTTTCTTCCCCGGTGTGTAATACACAGGACGCTCTCCTTCGTGAGTCATTCCGAGCCTGAAACGTTAGTTACATACGTTTGTTATGAGACGCACAGAAAATCAAATATCGCAGAAACTGTGTGATTGGTTCCACCGGTGACGTCATACGCACAAAGACGACGAGCGCCATGACCATGCACTTTTGGCGCCGGTTGATTGGCTCCGTCAGTTACAATGCGGAGCGGAAGTGTGTCTGCGTCTTGAACAGGGGTAGCTGTGACGTCACAACGACGCCGAGCTCTGATTGGTTCTTGATTGTGGGTTGACCCGAATGCTAGATTCCTCGAGGGCTACCCAGTAGCTTTCTTTTTATTTTTTCGATCAGTCATTAGGTGATTGGCGTTCTGATATCGTCGCAACCCCTGTGTCTACAAACAGACGAACTTGGGCTCCGCATAGCGTCCGCTGCGGTCGCCTTCAGAGTGAAACGAAGTATAAATGGAATCCGAAAGAACTTTCCTCGGAACCGGATTTTCCGAAATGTCTCAAGATTACCTTCAACCATAAAGCTACTAGAAAAGTGAAGAGCCCCAAACGCCATTAAGAATTGTAACGCGGGGAGGGGGAGAAGGTAATTCTCGTAGCTGTCTTCACTTTCGTCGTTTATTCAGACGTAGGAATCACTGGGCGGTTACCAATTTGAACTCTGCTCAAATGACCACGTAGTTTTAGAAGAAATTAGGGTTAGGGGCTTCAGGGTATGATAATTTACGCAATAAAACCTCCCGGTAAACGCAAGTTGCCGCTCGCAAGCAGACAAAAATTTCTTTGGTCACCTTGTATGGTAAATGTTTTGCTTGGGCCAGGCTGGAAAAATAATGTTTTGCCAAGCTGGCAGCTACGTGAAAGCTTGACTGTGAGGCAATCTTCACACTCCGGTAGCAGACGGTGGCTCCAGAGGCGTTTGTACCTGCGGACGTCTGTACTTCCTTTTACCCTAAATCAGAGTCCAGCTGATGCCGCAAGCAGATGGCCCATTCACGCAGGGGAGAAAGAGCAACACCGCGGCGTTTGCCGTCTTTCTGAGTGTTCCCCATTAATGTGGCAACTGACTACGAGTGCATGCTTCAATTAGGTTTCTCTGCTTTTGATACAAACCGATAAACCCCGAAAATTAAAAACTCAAGTCGTGTTTATCAATATGGAAAAAAAAAGATGCAAGCATCACTCCTGAAGAAAATCATTGTCCACGGCTTCATTTTGCGCTAACCTGTAACACAGTGCGCAAACAACTGCCTGCGAAGCTTCTTCTTGCTTGGAAATTGCACATCTTATATTTGGTTTTGTTTTCTTATCGGTACAGAAACATTTTCAAGTGTGTGGGGTCACGCGGATGTCACCCTCAATTTTAGGGAATCCCCTCCCCGTGCCCCACGCAAGTCAAATATCTCTCCGACATTGAAAATAGTTACCAAAAAACACCGAATCGGTAAGAAACGTCATAATCCGGCCCCCGCTCCCCCCCCTCCCCCCCTCCCCCCCTCCCCCCCCTCTCCCCCCCCATCCCCCCCCCCAAGCTAAGAAAAAACATACCAAAACATGGACATGGGGCCTCACTATAAAAGCGCACCCGTTAAGCGAGTAAGGAATTCTTCACCGTTGTAGTCTCCGACCTTGTGTAGAGTCGGGCTAATCTCAAATGTCTCTCTATTTGTGGCTTTTTTTTACGCCTCTAATTGGTCTGCGAAAGCCACCACCTACCCTTAGGTTGTGTCCTCAGTTTTAAGCTCGTCTTCTGTTTACGTTTATCTCTGGCACATTTATGGGAACCAAAACGTTTTTTGCAACGACGTTGGAGGAACTTTTCATTGTTTGTACTTTCGGAACAAAGTTTTGTGTGGTGTTCGAAATTTGGCAGCTTCTGCCACGCCAACATGGTAAATTCCGCGTTTCAGGCTTGCGCTTGGTTAGATGGGCAGCTCTACGGAACGTTTTTTGATGTCCGGTAAATAGCATCCCGCCATGTTGATGAACAGCATTAGGCAATCTTTCCCCATTAGTTTCCATGCAGACACTCAGTTGTTTGCGTCATTTTTGGTGATCGTCAAAAGCACAAGCATAGCGAGTGGCTCCGTCGACTACATAACTAAGTGCGACAGGCCAGTGCATTTCGGGCGCATAAACTAAGCTTATTTTGTGCCGTTTCTTTTTTTTTTTTTTTTCTTAGTACCGCTTTGCAGTGTTTTCCGGGACTATTTTGCCTGCCGACGAGCCAAATTTTCGAGCACCGGCTAGTTTTAACTTGAAAACCGGTGTGTAGAAACATCATGTTCCAACCGACGTTCTTTTATGTTCCCGACCATTCTCGCTGGCACAGTCGATCCCGGTACAAAACAAACTCGAGCGAGCCTGAAAACCATCGATAAAACAAGAAAAAGCGAAAGTTTTCCAACATGGCGCCTGGCGAGATTTCGATCCGGAAGTACGTCACATGATGACACCGCACTCTACGAGACTAACACGAGATACAGTTCTGAATTCCGGCAATTGTTGATATTCCTGGTAGCCACTGCGCCGATAATTTCGAAGCATTCGATCAAAAATATGATCGTATACTCACGAGTGTGCCAGTTCATGAGCTATTACTAGGGGCTCCCATGTTCCAATTCGGCCGAAGTTCATCGTTTGAGTGGTGATGGAGTTGTCCTTGCACACGTGGCAATAATTTGAGCATCCTGACGAGACAGACGGGGCTTCATCAACCAAAGGAGACACGGCAATCAGAAGGCTTCGCACACTGGCGTTTGGTTCCTTCGATCGACTGCACTACGACAATATGAGCTAGAAAACAAGCCCCACCCCCGCTCTTTCCCCCTCCAAAGCACACCCAAACGTCCTCACTGGTGCAAACACGCAGCGCGACATAAATCGCGTCAGCGTTGCCGCCGGCGTGTCTTCTGCATTGCCCCGTACTCTCGCCACGCATCAGCGTGTTTTCCTCGAGGTACGATTCGGGCATCTGCTAACAGGCCCTTTGTTTTCTGTGGCGTGGGCTACGAGCTCTTGTAACCACATAGGACTAGAAATCACCGCCTGATTATGCTTCAAAATGCCTCCAGTTGGTCGGTTGGGGTCACGTGTCTTACGGATCGCCTTAGTAATACGTGCTACGACCAGTTGACGCAAGCGTTGATCGGCTGCGAGCGTTTAGGCGCCTCCTCCAGCTTTCCCACGCCATTCGACAACGCAACGCATTCCGACTTGCAACCAACTGGCGCGTGGGTGTCCGCCATTAATGTGCAAGCGCTCTTTGTGGTTTCAGTTGCTTCCTCGTTTTTTAAGTGTTGACTCTCTAGAACCCACTGGAGCGCTGTCGCCACCAATGAGGCGGTCCTGGAGCTGCATTTCACCGGACTAAAGGTTTCGCAGTACTCACGAGATTGAATGTACGTGCTATCTACGAGAAATGGTGGTTAATAATATTGTCAAAATTGTTTTCGAGCCCGTGGTGAAATAACAACGAGCGAAAGAAACAGTAAATATACGAAATCTACGAGCCTCCCACGGCTATCCAATAGGTGACGCCAGTGTATTTCCTCGTCTCTAGTGATCACAAGACTGCACAGCGCACACTTTTGCAACCAAACGCAAGTGCGTGAAACCGACTTTACGTCAACTGCGTTCTCGCAGAAGTCAATGGCAAGGAATGGACGACACGCCCGCATTACAAAAACGACATTGACACAGTCTATTTGACGCGGGATTTAGAACCTCTTTAGTGCACATGTTTCTTTGTGATGTGCATATTTCAATATTCCAAATTAAAGTGTTCCAAGCAAAAACTAAAGTTTTTGTTTATTATTATTTTTTTTTTTTTTTTACGGTTGATTATGTATGACCCGGGCTACGAGCCGATCAGTGGTTTCTCACTGTCGTCAGTGATCTTATTTCACGCTAGGAAGATTGCCAGCTTCACTGTTTGACATTCGATTGAGTAATGAAAACTTGTACATACCACCAATAGCTCCATTCGAGAGCCTGAAAGGAAAAACATAAAGCATGATATGGACGTGCAACAAACAATTACCATCAGTGTAGCGTGATTGTCGAGTGATTCGGAGTTGATGCGCGATAACAGGGCGCAAGATATGAACATTGCATATGAATAGTGCAGCGCGTCTTGATTTTGTGCCACGAATATCTATTCATAGGAGTCACACTCAAAAGTGGCGAAAGATTTTTCAAAGAATGATGGTATGCTCCACGAGCTCCACCACGGCCGGACTGGAAGCGCGCCCTCTCTTTCTCTTCTTACGGCCTATGCAATTGTGGCAATCGCCAGCTCCTGCCGCAGTTCGCGGGGGGCGCTGTCACCTTACCCCTGGGCTACACTTTGCCGTTTGCACAGAGCGCGCCTGACAGTGTATCTCAGCGCTGTCGCAACTTGCGGATGAAATTTTTATTGCCTTTGACACCTGATCCTTATGTTTAGACCCTGAGCCAGCATCTAATGCGCTTCTGATGAGCCCAAAACGGTGAATATTTGAGGCACATCTCCGAGACATTCGGGAGTAAAAGGTAGTAAGTAGAGACAGCGAATGCAATTGCGGAAGAGCTATACTCGTCTTTACCTCCAGGACTTCTGGGGGGCTATGTTGCACGTTTTGGACTCCCAGGAGACTAGAGAGAAGGAAGTGACGTCAACAACGCTCTTTGGATGTTGATTGGTGGAGACGCTGATGACGCGTTGCGTAATGCTGCTAAGATACGTCATTCACACCTACGTCACTTCCTTCTCCCTAGTCGCCTGGGAGTCCAAAACGTGCAACATAGCCCCCTGTTGCAACTCAAAAACAGGAGGAGACAGACCCCTTCTACATGGAGGAACTTTAAATGATAAATAATTCGTACACTCTCGTGAAATGTAAGTAGGCCCAATCTATCTATTGCCGTGGTCTGCATCATCATTTCATAGGCCGCTTATGAAGTCGGTCAGGTGCCCTACACGAGGGTGTAGTAGTCTGTACAGTTTTCGCACAGTGCATATTACAGCCTAAAGTGCTTCCCGAGGGCTTGTGCACATATCCAGCCGATTTTTGGTTTCTGCCCGTGACCGCCTTTGCATGGTTAATCAGAAGTATTCTGAGGAACTTGTTGCAAATTAAACCAGCCAAGCGCTTCGAGTGACTGTTGTCAATGCCCCCTGGGTAACTTAGGATTGGCGCGTCTTCAAGATAGGGTGCAATGAGTAGTTGCAGAACTTCGTGCACATTTGTACGCGGAAGGTGCTTAACAGCTTTTAAAAAAAAAGCAACAATGTTGTTCAGAAGTGCGAGGAACCCAGGATTTGGATAATAAAGTCCGCTTTTATCCTGGCCTTGCAGTAAGACGAACAGAGGATCACCTCTGTTACTCGTAGTCACCATAACACAGGCGGCGCACCCAAACTCACAGATGAATTTCACCAGATAGCCACCGACGTACACCAGACCAGAGTATGTCACGGATGGAGATGGAGCGCAAGGCTTTTTCAGTTTTTTCAGGTCAGTGGTTACCGAGTCGGGCACAGGCGCTGCCAACTGCTCAGAATCAGCGTCTGACGTCTGTATTTGCTTAGAAGGGGCATTTTCTTTGACAATGTGATCAAGGGCTGCTATGACAGCCCTTGTATGGCTTAAATCGGAGCGAAGTTCACTAAACCGTTGCCAAAACAACAATCTACGAAGCTCGAACACCAGCGCAAAGCAGCTCGAAGGAACTCTCCGAGTGGGGTGAAGTGGGGTGAGGTGGTTGCGCCCCTGGCGGAAAGCAAGTGAACTACATACGGAGAAAAAAATGCCATTGACTCCCGGGCGATTGCAAAGGCCGTAAGAAGAGAAAGAGAGCGCGCGCTTCCAGTCCGGCCGTGGCTCCACAAACCTCCCACGTATTTTGGGGAGAGAAGCGGGCCTCAGAGATTTGATGGGCCATACATAGGCACCGGCCGGTAAGTGCACGACCTTGACCTTCAAACAATCAATCAATTGAGCAAGCAAGAAATCAATCACTTAATCAGTTAATCAATCAATCAAGTGAGCAAGCCGGTGAGCGAGCAATCGTTCGATGAAACGGAAAAAAAAATAGCCCTCGGCACTGCGACGACAGGGACAATAGCGAACAACCGCCTGCAGATGTATCAATTCGACAACGAACCGCTGTTGATCCCGCAACTATTTAAGCTCCACCCCTGGCGCTTCCTTTGCCCGCGTTTGTGTCATCCTTGCTAATAACGTGCACCAGAGTCACAGGACGCTTCTAGTCACTATGCAATTTCAGCAGATCTGCTGCAGGTTCGGCTTGCTAGCGGGATCTCGTGCCGTTTCTTCGAAGCCTGTATTGAGCACGCGCCCTCTAGGCCAGCTTTCCGCAGCGTATAGGATCTACTAAAACTCTATAGACACTTTCAGGTAGGTGTGCATGGCCGCCGCCATAACCGACTTTCAGTTTTTGTTTCCCCTTATTCCGTTCGCTTCAGTTTACCATTACCACAGCAGGACAGGTTATTTTTAAATGCTGCTGTGTCCTTCTCCCTAGCACAGGCCCTTGTGGAGGATCGTCAACGCCCGCTTCAGTGGCTCGGTATCTCGGTAGGACCAGTGAAGGTCGGCAATGGCGGCTTAATCTGGCGCGTGTTTAAAGTGTCGACACTGGACACTGACAAGCGCACTTGTAAGGTAGAATCGATTGGAACTAATCAAGTTACTTCAATTCGATTCGTTTCTTGAGTAATTCTGTAACCATTTGATTGCATTTCTTAGGAAGTAATTTTCACAGTATTCCCATTACTTTCGAAAGTATTACAATTACCTGTAACTTAGATTTTTTTCCTCTTGCGCTTTCTGATGGCTCCGTTCAAATGTGAGTGTTCCTACCAAGAAACCGTCGAACCCAGTCTTCGACTACTTGACGGTTTATCGAATTTGGTGGATTAAAGAGATAAGTAGTTTATAGTTTGGAATCTTAATCCAGTAATGGATAGCAGGAAATACCTGTTCTCGAACCGACAGGAATATGTGCCGTATTTAAAACCTGAAGTAATCGGTTATGTAACGGTTAGTTTTTGGAGTAATGACAAATAAGTCATCTTCTCGAGTAAACCAATAATATAATCGAATAGTTTTTTGTTAACGAAGAGTAACTCTAATTGTAGTCAATTCCTTTTGTCGAGCAACGTTCACGTGACTGCTGACAAAACGCCGGGGCACACGCACTCGTTCTTTGCTTTTCTTCGTGCTTCGGTTTCGCGAGCACACTCGACGCCGAAGCGCTATCGAAGGTAGAGCTAGAGGTGGGGCAACCGAATTTCCTCCCTGCCGCTTATCCTCTCAATGAAAATATAGTGTTCACCACTCCCATGTGGTCTCCAATCATTTTGGTGCTGTGCCAAAGATCAGACCCAACAGCGCATAGCAAACGGTCTACTCGGAGATTGCTAGGTTTCTCGTCGGCTCTATCCCGTTCGCGCACGATTGTACTTTGCAGCACTGTTTACTTTTACAGCGGAGTTGTTAGGGGCTAGTTTCGCAAGTATCGCGTCCGTCAGCGAATAAGTAATGACACGAAACTGTGGACAGCTATTGCCGTCTATAAGCGAAGGTGGCAACCAGAAAACCGGCCTGCCGGTTGTCTGGTTGCCGCCGTCCCTTATGGATGACCCCTAATTTCCAGCCTTTTCACTCTGGCTTGTCGACTTTCGGTCGGCCATTAGTTCGTTCCCACCATAGTACAGCTTCGCTAATCTTCCTTCTTCACCAGTGGAAAGGCTGAAAGTTTTTCTTTTTCGAGGGAAATGTAAGAACATTTTCGCAACTTAGCTTTCTTACTGTACTGTACTTTGTTTCACCTTAGCTCTGAACGTAGCCGACGCTATACGAGCTGGTGAGACCGACCACAAAGCGTCAAAAGCACACCAATGCGGAGAGCAAGTAGCCTGCTCCTTCCGCAGGAGTTGTGGCGACGTCAGAATGACGCCGATCTTTGATCGGCTCTTATTGAAAAAATAGTAGTTACACCTCAAATCAAGCGGCCGTGATGTCTACCCACAATCCTTCAATTGCAGCGAATGAGAGCTCGGCGTTCTGACTAAACCACAACCCCTGCAAATGAAGCCGACAGACTTGCGCTCCGTATAAGGTGTCCGCTATTGTTTTGTACACATGTTCTATCGCCGCTGAACAAATCGTGTACAGGGAAGGTCCAGTGAGTTACACCTTTGACGCTATTTGATTGGTCTCTTGACCCTCATCAGATCTTAGCGTCGGCTCCTTCCGGATCTAAGGTCAAACGAGGTATAATGCAGAATTTTCTCATTGTAAATTTGATTACAAGAATTTTTTTTCACTGTACTTAGGGTCAACTTTCAGTGGCAATGAAGCCAAGGCTACGGAGCCGGAGCACGTTGTCTTACTGCGCAGCTGAATATAGCTCAACAGAAATATTTTTGCTTGGTGTAACTTAAATAAATGAAAGAATAAATTGTTTTTAAGCTCTGATTTTAGAATGTTACTGTAATACCAAACTTGTAGCATTTCTTTTTCTTAGCTCTTTTTGCAGCAGACCTTCTAGTTCCCTTCAAAACAGACATGGCCTCTTTCTCCTGTGGTGTGCATCGTCAGTAGCGGAGAGTGCCGGCCACAAGCGCGAAACACATGTACGACGAAACTGTCCTATCTGACGTCCGATCAGGCAATACGACAATCGGAGGCGAGGGTTTTCAACACTCTCCGGTGCTACAAAAGCCCTCGCCCCCGAAGGTCATTCCATCAGTTCGCACGTCGAATCGGACGGTTTCGTCGTACATGTGTTTCGCGCTTTAGGTTTCGGCGATCTGCGCTGTCGCACAGGCTAAATGGGGGGCGACGCCGCGCCCCCCTAATTGATTGTTTATTTGATCACATTCCTGACACGACGTTATATGCTCATGTTGGGCCACTACTTGCACGGTCACTAACAACGGAATGTCGTACCTAGTAGATAGGGGCGTATAAAAAGGGAGGGGG